TTTACCCAATATATTTATAGGTATAAAAGTACATATACAGTTTAAATCACGTAAAACATGTATAAATTGTTCATCTAGCATAGATATCATGAACACAGATAATAAGTACATATAACATGTATTAATATTAAATATTTCATATCTATGTGTAAGATAAAATTAACTATGCACTCACTTGTTAAAGTGATGTCTCGAAATAAGAGTAGCACTTCGCTCCTAGCAATTGTGTTTTCCTTTGACGTAACCTAGTGTCGTTATCATTACTTCTTAGTTTATTATTTATTGCGACTAATTATTAGTCTAGATTCATCATTAACTCAAAGTCTACTTTCATAATCTATCAAGTAAGGAACAAACAAGTAGCATCATATTGGAGGTAGGGTCCGTTTGGTATACGAAGTATACTGTTTGGAAATCTCACTTTAAACACCTCACTAAATCACAACCTATACATCATCCTCATAAGTAGATCAATCAGTATAACAACAGAAAATCACTGATAAATCTTGTTTATAGGTTCATAATAACGATAATGAACTTAAACATAAGTTATACTTAAAGTATGGTATGTATAACTCACTTACAAGGGGGTTTAGAGAGGAACTGAGTTTTGCGCGGGCAGAACTTCTGAGCCGAAAGCTCTTCTTCTCAGGCCTTCTGGCGCTCCGGGACTCGCTACTAACACCTAGGAGGTGCTAGGGAAAGGCTTAGAGGGTTTGGGGGTGTTTGAGAGAGAATGTGTTGAAGAGGTGTGAAGAAATGAGTGATTTGCGCCTTCTATTTATAGGCTGTGAAGAGGTCGTACGCTAGGCGTACTCCAGAATTATGTTAGGCGTAATGTGGCCATGTGTCACCATCTGGTGGCAAGCCATGGGGAAGAAGGTGTGGCCCAGATCGCACCACGTGTCACTTGTTGGTTACTCCAAAAACTAATTATCTTCTAAAATCCGTAACCATTCGCATACGAGCTCCGTTTTTTATGTTCTTTATATCTACACGTAGGTATCAACGGGATCTACAATTTTCGTTTAAACTATGTCGGATAGTTTTGACTTTATTTTTAAAGTTATATTTTAATACGCTTAGACAGTTAAAGTCCGTTAAAAGTCATAACTTTGTCATCCGACGTCCGTTTTCGACTGTTTTTATATCGTTGAACTCCTATTGACGAGATTTTTAATTATTGTTTAGGTTGTGTCGGTTAATAATCGATCGATCTAAAATTCGATTTAAAGGTTGTGTACTGCTACGCTAAATCTTAGAAAATTTATAACTTCCTCAAATGAAATCAGATTTGGACGTTTTGTATATGCACGCTCTCGGTTTAATGTCTACTACGACTTTCGTTTAGATTTCTAAGGATAAAAAGTATTTCGTCAAAAATTCACTTTTTACGTTACGCGAAGTCATGCCGGTTTAATCGCAAAACTTCGACGGGTCATAACTTCTTCGTTATAAGTCAGATTTCAGCGTTCTTTATATGTACAAAATCCTTGTGACATATACCATAACTTTGGTTCAGATTATTTATTCTAAATAATTTTCTATCAAAATCCTTGTGACATATACCATAACTTTGAATTTTGATATGAAATAAACCCATATAAGCCAGAAAGAGCAAAAGACAAGACAATGGAGGGTCCAGTGTCGTCTCAGGCTTCAATGCCGGTTACCATGTAGATATCGGAGCCCACAACGGAGCCAAGTCCAAGGTAAATTAGATCAAACCACATGAGACACTTTCACATCTTGTTTTTGCACTATTTCTTAAGCTCAATGATTTCAACGACATCGATGGATCAAACGAGGCACAGGACAATCGCCATCATTGTAGTTCTGAAAGCTTAATCAGACACCGGAGCCACCTTCTTAGGTTCTAAAACCCTAAATCGGAGTCACCCAGACGTTGAAGATAACAGATCTTGAAGAAGAAACTACACTAAATTATCATAATCGAAATACGAAGAGAGTCGAGTGATGCTGAAATCGGTGAGGATGACCTACTTGAGGCGGTGGTTGGTAGATAGGGGAAAAAGAAATTAGGTAGAGAGACTAGATGGAAATGATGTCAACGGGGAAGCAAGGGAAAAACGAGAGAGAGAGAGAGAGAGAGAGAGAGAGAGAGAGAGAGAGGAGGGAGTGTAGGACCCTTTGAAGGTTGTCAACAAGGCCTTATGTCCGATATTCTTAATTCGACAAATCAAGGGAAACAAGTAAAAGATAAGTATCATAACATACTAATTTAAGTTTGATCTGTGATCAGATTTCGGAACACAAGTGTTTATAATACGTTTGCATAAACATGTAGCTAATCGAGGTGGATTAGTTTTAGAGTTATTAGGGTTGTTATATATATATATATATATATATATATATATATATATATATATATATATATATATATATATATATATATATATATATATATAGGTAAATGTTATGGGTCGATTTCTCAATTTGGATGGGTTTGTTTCCGGTAAAAACCGAAACTGAAATCGTTTTTTCGATTTTTTAAAATTTTAAGCCCTAACCATCGCTTTTGCTTCGATTTCGGTTTCGCAGGTTTTGGTCGTTTTCTTGGTTCGAGTTTGTTCATCCCTAGTAATTATCAATACTCTAGAATGTTAGATATATATCATTTCCTATCGTTTCATAGTTTAGACCATGTTTATTAATAGGTTAGTGGCTAATCAATTACTTCTTATGTGAGAAATATAAAATAAAAAATAAATACATTAACTAGAGTCCATATGACAATGGTTCTATAATTAAGGTTATGTTTGACTTATTAGCTTAAAAGCTAATTGTTATATGAAAAAATAAACTTTGGTGAAACTAACTAATAAGTTAGTTGAAAGATATAAAATAACATTTAAAAAATATATTTGGAGAAATATAAAAATTAGTCCAAGTGTTTGGTTGTTGGATGGTACATGATCCGTGAGGTAAATGTAAATCTTACAAGTATAGAATAGATAAATACAAAAACTTACTCTTAAGTTTGACTTTTTTTTCCACTATTCTTCGACTTGGGTAACTCCTTTAAACTCAAGTAATTTCACTTTCAACGTTAAAAATGAGAGAACCATCAAAGTGATTGTCTATGTTCATATGTTCAACGTTAAAAATGAGAAATTATCAACAAATTGAAGTCAACTTTTTGTGTTTTGTTTTTGTCACTAAATTTTCTTTTTTTCTACATGAACTAAAAAAACATTTTATATCAATTTATGGGCTCTTTAAACCATTACTAGTTAGGGAAAATGACTCTTGAGGGTAATTAACTTTTGCGTTTGTACTCATTTGGTCCCTTTTCTTTTTTTTGTATTCAATATACCATCGAACTTGTTGTTGGTGTTTACCATAGCCCTTTTGACCGGCTTTTGACCTGTGATAGTCGGTCAAAGGGTTATGGTGAATACAAACAACAAGTTCGATGGTATATTGAGTACAAAAAAAAAGGAAAGGGACCAAATAAGAACAAAAGCAACAGTTGGTTACCCTCCTGATTCATTTTCTCTTTACTCATTTACAACAAATCCCACATCATCTCCTACTAATATTAATGACTTTATGAGATTCATTCTTGCTTCTCTTCAAAACATAACCTACGAAACGACATTATTCATACATGTACAACTTTGTAATACACTTGAATAATTATTAGGGGAATCTTGACTAAGCAGGCGCATTTCATGACTACATTTACATTTCCAATCAAATGATTTATTGTATCATGGATTCTAGACAAGTCTACAAACGAGTGGAATCACAAGTGCTATGATTTTTGAGTTTACTTAGCTTTAAGATCGAACTCATGGGATAAGATAAAACATCAATATGTACAATATTATGGTGATGTGTCTACAAAAGCAGCATGATATTGTACATATTGATGTTGTATCTTATCCCATGAGTTCGATCTTAAAGCTAAGTAAACTCCAAAATCACAGCACTTGTGATTCCACTCGTTTGTAGACTTGTCTAGAATCCATGATACGATAAATCATTTGATTGCAAATGTAAATGTAGTCATGAAATGCGCCTACTTATTCAAGATTCCCCTAATAAATATTCAAGTGTATTACAAAGTTGTACATGTATGAATAATGTCCTTTCGTAGGTTATGTTTTGAAGAGAAGCAAGAATGAATCTCATAAAGTCATTAATATTAGTAGGAGATGATGTGAGATTTGTTGTAAATGAGTAAAGAGAAAATGAATCAGGAGGGTAACCAACTGTTGCGTTTGTTCTCATTTGGTCCCTTTCCTTTTTTGTACTCAATATACCATCGAACTTGTTGTTTGTGTTCACCATAACCCTTTGACCGGCTATCACAGGTCAAAAGCCGGTCAAAAGGGCTATGGTAAACACTAACAACAAGTTCGATGGTATACTGAATACAAAAAAAAAAGAAAAGGGACCAAATGAGTACAAACGCAAAAGTTAATTACCCTCAAGAGTCATTTTCCCTTACTAGTTATATTCATTATTTGTTATCAATAGTAATAAAATCCTAGCTTTTTATTATCCATATTTTATGCCTAGATTCATTAACCGAAGCATAATGTAAATCAATTGTCACGAGGAGGCTACAAACAAAATGTATTAAAATATTTTAACCCATTTTAACCTTTAATCTCAAACAAACTTCTATCACCTTTCTCTCATTCAATCACATTTCCATCAAAATGGATTCTAACAACCCCATGGGTTGTACAATATGCATAGAAAGCATAATAAAATTAATGAGTTCTGATTAGAAGTCACCTTAATTTACACTAATATAGCAGTAAATTCTGGATAACTAACAACTACACTTGAGGCTTTATCTTGTAAATGCAGAAGAACAAGTAAAGTAAGTAAAGATAAATCACATATCATCTCATAAAAAGCAAACAGGAAAAACTTGATCGTTTTCATAGGGGTTCAAGACACAGGATTAAACTTTAACAACAACAAACTCATTACAAAGAGAAAGAGGAGGAAGCTAACCATCACTATAGCCAATCTTGCTGCTGTAACTTCAATGGTAGATAAACCTCAGATAGATACTGAAAACCGAATGTACTCAAAGCCTGAATTTCTGCCTTCTGCTTCGATTTCACCATGATATTCAACTCCTCAACCCAACCAGGATTCTTCTTCACGAAATCCTCCTCCAACAAATCCTTACCAGTCTTAATATCCTGCTCTGTCATTGGCAATCTACACTGTTCTGGTATCTTATACTTGTCCAAATCACTAGGTCTAACACCCAACCATTTGATATCAGGTGTAGTCAAATTTGCACTATCATAAGACATGTTCTTTGATCCAGAGCCATATACAGACAAGATCTTCAATCCATAAGGGTCACTGTCTACAAGAGCCAACACAGGTAATTTCAGCTCCATCTTCATCTTCCTCAAGAACAACCTGGTGGCAACATCAGGTTGACCTTTAGCTGTCACGATTATGCAAGGAAATCGATTGTAGAATCGGTCTTCAGCTAATCTCATGTAAGCAGCATCCTTTTCAACTAAGAGTATGAACAATGCGTCGCTTGACATGTCACCTACTCTATCTATATTCGGAGGAATCGCTTTCCCTCCCATTCCCATTTTCGTGCAATCAATCATATCGCCATTGTCGCTGAATATAAGTCTGCCTACAACCACTCCCTTTTCAGCTGCGACAACATTCAGTGATGACCTAGTGCAACCTAATATACACGAAACATCATCCAAAACAGCATCGGACTGGGTCTGGTCTTGAAACAGCTTGACATCGGTGTAAAACAGGTCACGCTTGGTGACGTGGATGTTTTTGAGGGAGAGTTGATGAATGAGAGACAGGATACGGGCTGTGATGGTGGTTTTCCGGACGGTGGAGACAGAGGCGTAGGGGCGAACGGAGGTTTTGTCCTTGAGGACGATGCGATCGAGCTCAGGGACGTATAGTTGGTTGGTGGCGGCGCGTGAGGGGACGGAGAAGGAGAAGCCGTTGCCGGCGAGGATCGATTTAGCAAGAGAGATGGCTAGTGTTTGGATCTCGGTTTGTACGGAGGATAAGGTTAAGTCGGTGACTTCACGGCAAGTGGATGAGAGGTTGAGATCGGAAAGGGTTAGGGTTTTAGAAGTTGAGGCTGATTTGGTGGCTTCGGTTAGGGTTTCGAGTATTGATAGGATGACGGAGTCTGGTTTGAGACGGTTTTTGAAGGGGAGGCGAACAGATTCGTCGTCGGAATCGGCGTCTGCTCGTCGGCGTTTTCTCTTATCCGCCATTTGTGTAGTGAGTGGGATCAGGAGGCGGGAAAATGAAGATGGAAAAGATGTTGGTGACGGTGTGTGTTGGTGTTTTCGTGTCTTCCGGACGCTTCGACAAAGACGAAAGCACGGCTGGACTGGGAAGATGGGCTGAAATAATATGGGAGGCCCAAATATGCAGAGTTGGGCTGTTTTTGTTTTAGAGAGTTGTTAACTTTGTTTTAGAGAAGGTTGTTAACTTGTTGATCATGGGTGTTTGGGATTGCTTATTTAATTAAATAACCATTTTTTTTTGTTAAAAATGTTTATTAGTTTATGCGTTGGTAAAAATGAGTTAACCATAATATGATGGTGCTTGAACCCTATAAGCTTTATACAATATACTGCATGATCTCAAAGGAGCCTAATTATGTTTTTGTTCATACTTCATCAAATGAAAATAATGGAATCTTTAGATTATATCTAAGGATAAAATTATATTCCGGTTGTGACATATGTTGGTCTAAACCATCTATAGGGATAAACATACGAAAATCCTAAACATGTGTTTGTAGACATTCAAAAGTTATGTTTTGTCTAAAAATCAATTTGAAGTTTACCTGTGTCATGAATAATTTTACTTAATATGATATTTGTCGATGTATGTAGGTCATTGGTACAATGTAACTGTTAGCGAAACTATTATATTTAGAACTCAATATCATATAATGAAAACAAGCCACAAAGCACCAACATATTCAAAATAGATAGAGCATATATCTTTGTCTTATAAGTTGTAGTCTCATAACACCTTATATTGGAGCCTAGAGGTCAAAATAATTATAAGAGATAGCCTCTAGTGCTGAGTAGACAGGCTCGTACAACCAAACCAGATTGGTAAACAATCTACTAGGTATCTCCAAATAAAGGATCTCCATAAACCAACATGTACTCGAGTCGACTAGCATAACCATTTGTCACAAAAAAAAAAAAAAAAAAAAAAAAAACCCTCATGTATGTACGGGTTAGCATATCCTTATGCAAAATAGTTTTTTTGGAAATACCAATATCGAAGAAAAAAAAGCCCACCATGTGGGTCACCTAACTATAAAGGAAAATGCATCAACTCTATTTATGGCCAAATGTTGTATTTCGGAATTGACAAACAAACAATTTGATAAATAATATTAAAAATAATATATGTTGAAACAAATAATAAATTATATTATCATTAGATTATCAAATTTTGTATAAAATTCAAATCGATTATATACAACTATAAAAAGGGATATAAATAGACTATTTTGCTGTTAGACGAATTAAAAGACAATATATGAATAATAAAAACAACATGAAGCTCATACAATCTTAATTGCTAAAAGCTACATGGAATGACTTGTGTCTTTAATTTCTTTTTACACCGATCAATGGTTGTAAGCTTCGATTAAAAATTGCAAACTATACATGAACTAACCACACTTTTTCATCTTCTACTATGCCAAAAACCATTAACATGACATAATATTACATCTTTATCCCCATCACAAAGATAATAACATCCACCTTAATAGTCTTTATAAAACACCTAACACTTGATTTTGTACAACAAGAACTTGTTAGCTTATAAGGGTTTCATGAACCACAACAATCTTGGGATGACATCCATTTCCATTAAACACATATGTCGATCAATCCACATTCACCACTATACATCTAAACCAACAATACCCAACAAACAAACTGTAAGCATTAACACTTTGGAGTATGTGTAGAAAATCTGTTCATGGTTGTTGGATGTCTATGATGTTCATATCGCAAGTGATCTTCTATATGCACAAAACATCATTTTCAAACGAGTGAAAGTTACATTCGATCAAGTTTGAAAATAAGGCTAAACCCACTTCTCATTCTCCTTAAATTATCTGACTGGAAGACCAAGAGATTAAATAATGTAAATACCCCCATGTGACTTGCACATGAAGAGATTTTAACGGTAGATGTTAACGGAGTGAAAGGAGGGGAACCAAACCTATTAATTTTACATGGAGGTAGTTTGAAATAAGGACCGTTACTGCAACAATCTCCGAACTTTGTACCAAACGTGTTGTATTCACCAAAGTTAAACGACTAAACATGTAATTTAATTACATTTTTTATTTTTATTATTAGTAAACCTAGGAATATGCGATTCAATAACCCAAAATACCTCTGAATTGGGGATCCCCATTCTCCTTCAACGCCAAATAGGTCGTCGCTTGCTATTTTCTTCTTCTTCCGCTTCCCTTCTCGCTCTGTAATTCAGCCGTCAAATCCACCCATGGCGGCCCTCACCCGCCTCCTGAAACCATCATCATCTTCCTCAATCACTTTTCTATTCAGGAGATCACTTTCCTCCACCACCACTGCCGTGGTTTCCGATATTGAATCTCAACACAACCAGCGCCCTAATTTCTCCGATCCCAAGGGTTCTAGAAACTTCCAATGGGTGTTTCTCGGCTGTCCCGGTGTCGGAAAAGGAACTTATGCTAGTCGCCTCTCGACACTTCTCGGTGTCCCTCACATCGCCACCGGAGATCTCGTTCGTGAAGAGTTATCTTCTTCCGGCCCTCTTTCTCGACAGGTATATATCACTCTGTTATATGTGCTTTCCTTAAATTTAACATGATTATTAATCGAGCTTATGTTATGCACAATTGTACACCCAATTGTGATTAACAAGATCCTGACGCTTACTCCCAAACCTTTTTCCCAAATTAACCTGTCAGTGTCTTTCGATTTGGTCGTTATTCCATGGCGTGTTTGTTCTATAATATATAGCGACATGCAGAAGCGGGATCTGTAAACTTTACATTCTTCTTCGTATGATTTTCAGCTTGCTGAGATAGTGAACCAAGGGAAGCTAGTTTCTGATGAAATTATCTTCAACTTGTTATCAAAAAGACTAGAAGCTGGAGAATCAAAAGGCGAATCAGGATTCATTCTTGATGGTTTTCCTCGAACTATACGACAAGCTGTAAGTATCTTGTAATAACCAAATCAAACCATATGATCTCATTGAATGTTTTTGCAATAGTTCCCTAATGAATCATTGCCTTTTCAGGAAATTTTAGACGAGGTTACAGAAATTGATTTAGTAGTGAATCTGAAACTGAGGGAAGATGTGTTGGTTGAGAAATGTCTTGGAAGAAGGATATGCAGCCAATGTGGAAAAGGTTTCAATGTGGCTTCCATTAACGCAAAGGAAGAAAATGGAAGACCTGCAATGAGCATGGCCCCACTTCTTCCACCTTCACACTGCTCCACCAAGCTCATCACTCGTGCTGATGACACTGAACACGTTGTGAAAGAGCGACTTCGTGTCTATCAGGAAAAGGTATTGTAACATTTTTAGATGGAATGATTGTTTGACAAATGTCTAAAATACCCTTTTAGGATCTTGAACCCATGATGATGATGATTTTGTAAATGTTGTGCAGAGTCAACCTGTTGAGGATTTCTACAGGGAACAAGGGAAGATAATGGAGTTTGATCTGCCTGGAGGGATTCCAGAATCATGGCCAAAGTTGCTTGAAGCTCTTAACCTTGAAGACTATGAGGTTAAAAGGTCGGCTGTGGCTTAATCAGTAGGGGCTTTTTGGTCTTTTATAATCGATATGATTATTTGCATGCGTAATTTTTGCATGTGGAGCAAATTTTGGAAGAAAGAATAAAGAAAGAAAAATACAGTTGTTGATTATTTTGGTTTTCTTGTTAAATAACCAAAACATGAGGAAGTGTTGTAAGCTGTCAAGTTATAATGATGGCTGCTGCCTTCGAATATTTTTTGTAATTTGTAACGTTATTATGAAGAGAGACACTTTCTGAATAAAGAAAGTTTTTATAATTTGTGTTACAAGATTTTGGATTTCTTGTGATGCTATTACTTTCATGAACATTCCATAATTACATTTCTTTACATCTAATTGCTGTATGTTTTATTACAACAATATGCTTTCAGATTTTATTCTTATCAAGGAATTGCTCATTTATGTTATAGGTAAAAAAAAGTAAAATAAATTGCTATTATCGGAAAGACAATCTAAGTATGTTACCATTATAGGCAAGAGGTATTTTCATATTACTATATTAGTATTTCCAAATTAGTAAAATAAATTCCATCGTTTGCATATTAGTATTCAAATAAAAAAAAATTTATTGAGGTTCAAATTTATTATTTTATCCTTTCACCTAAACAAACTATCAGGAATGTTTAAATTGGTTTTTCATATAACTAGAATTACAATAAAAAATAAGGGAACTAACAGCATGGGAAGAATGGAGAAAAAAGTTTATATTGGTGGCAATAGTTAAAGGACGCTCACAACAGTGAATATAAAGTAAACTAATTTTCCTTTGACCTTGAAGGTCAAACAATAAGTAAGATAAAGTAAACTATGTTTCATTTTAGGACATGTACTTTGAAAATTCTATTCAACTAAGGGTCCGTTTCGTAGTTGATGTCTAGGAAAATGCTAAGGGTTTATTTGATAAGTGATGTCTAGGAAAATGTTGTTTGGAAAAATATTGTCTGGGAAAGTTTACTGACTGGGAAAAAAAACTATGTTGTTTGATTGTATGTCTGACTATGATGAATGATGAAAAATGACCTTATTATACTGTTGTTTTATACTGTGATGGATGAAATTGTTGAATAATTATAAAAAAAACATACAAATTATCATATAAAATCAAAATTACACAATAATCATTTAAAAATTCAAATACAAATTATCACACAAAATCAAAATTACACAAAATACATGTTAAAATCAGAATTTCTGATTGAAAATTCATATATGAAATGATCTTTCTAAATCCTATGCTCGAAAATCTGAAGAAAGAAAATAAGATGAAACAGATGAAGGTTCACGTCCGGTACTCTCCAATCAAAAGAAACAAATAAAAAAAAATAATAATAATAAAAGATGATATGGTTATATGTGGGGCGGAGCTGGTGGCTACAGCGACGCTCTAGCTGGGGGAGGATGGCCGGCGATGAA